CGGGGGGCTGCAGAGGGGCTGGGGGGGCACCCGTAGGGCTCCTCCCTCCTCACGTGCCACGGCTCTGCCACAGGGCTTACAAGACAGAAAGCCTCCGCAGAGGAAAACACTTCATCACAGGCTCTCCCGGGGAGGGGTGGATCCAATGGACATGCTCAAGTGCTTTCCTGAATCAAGGCTGGGCTTTGGTTGTGTCAAAATCACAACAAGCGTTTGCTTGCCTCTGCTGGGAGGGAAAGCCCCAGATTAGTCCTGAGCAGGCCTCACAGACGGCTTATAGGGATGGGTCCTCTGAATTGGAGCACAGTAGTCAGGCACCCAGGGCAGAAGACGGAGCTTAACCCCACAGTTCTCAACCTTTTCCATACTGGGAGATCTCCGAGAGAGACAGACACACAGACACACACACACACGAGACCCTCTCCTGGCAAGACAGAGTCAGCATTTCTGCCCTGTCTGATAATATGGAAAGAAAAAGGTCATTGAGACCATCTCCCCAGGCCATAAATCTTAAGTATCTCAAGCTTGAGAACCCCTTATCTTAAGATGTTGTGAAATATCGACCTAAAGAAAACTCATCAACTTCAGTAAGTCCATTGGTTCACCCAGTGGCCTTCTCACTGCTGCAGTTGCTCCGATGGAGTTGCAGATTGGGCTGGGCCAGAGGTCTGTAAATCACTATTGTCCCAATTTTAAGAACAGTTATTTAACCACATATATAATTGCTTTTTTAATGAAGATTACTTACTTGCTTGTGGGATGCCAGGAAAAAGAAAACGAAAAACAAAGGCTGCATTTTATCTTGCATGCAAAAATCCTGCTAAAATGGATACTACAAAAAAGAAAAAAAAAGATAACTAAAGTGAAAAAAAAAAAAAGCCAACACAAAAAACCAAACCCAAAATCGCCGCCCCCTCCCTCTCTCAGGAGAGGATGCTATAGGGGGTGAAAAGGATGGGAAGCAGGAGAGCAGCACACAGCTTTCAGATGGCCTTACTCACTTTAACAGAGACTTTGTTCCCCAGAATATCCTTGGATTTACGTGGCCCATTGGCTTCATTTTTGCCACTGCTCTCCTTTTCCGCCCGCTTTCTCATGCGCAGGGTATGCCATGAACATGACTTCCTGTTGTACCAAAAAATGCAGCAATCAAATGGCAAATCATAGCAGGAAGGAAGGATTTGGAAAGGGGAACCAGCATCCACATTTGCGATTACTGCAATTCCCTAGAAGGTGAAAGCCACCGGCAATACGCCCATCTCAATCTGAGCAATGAGAGTTGAAGGTAAAAACCAAACCAAACAGTTCTGCAAAGCAGATGTTGTGCCACACTTGCCGTTTAAATGCATGGATCAGGAAAAAAAATGCCCATGATGGAAGCAGGCAACTAGAATTTGCTCATCTGGTTTTAGGGACTTTGTCTTGCATTGCCACAAATAGAAAGTTCTTTTATTTTTGCTACAGTTAACAGGTTAATTCTTTCCTCGGTCTTGTTGGTTAGAAGCAGTGAAACAAATGCAAATACATGAGTATAGTCTTAATAGATTATGCAGTAGAGCAAATAAAAGAAAAATTAAAGACGTTCAAGGTGTTGCTCCTTACATGTTGCTCAGAACATTAATAGCTCAACAAGTAGAAGCTACATCATTAACTTTCCAAGAGATGTAATTTCCTAGAATGAAAGGCTCTGCTGTGCCTCTCAAGACCAAGAATTCCCCATTTGATTTTGCCAGTCCAGTCAGAGAGGACATCAGTCAGCTCATGTTTTTTTGACTAGTGTCACAGCAGGCATGATTTCCAGTACATTTTTCACCCCTCATTACTGCTCCTATGACCTTGCTCTTGGAAAAACAAGAACAAAAAAATAGACCATGTCACCCTTTGTAAGAGCAATGCTGTGCTGACAACAGAAACTGCACACCAAAGCAAACATAAAAAATTAAGAAAAAAAGAAAAGAGTTCTTAATATGGATTTCATTGGGTTTCAACAGTGGACAGGTTGGGGGTGTATTTGGGAAAGGGTATGTTGTCCAAAGCAGAAAGCTTTCAAAACAGCAGTGTGATGAGCTGGGATCCAGGTTCAAAGCATCTGCCCACCTTTAAGTCATGCAAATTTGATTTGCATGTTTAAGCCCAATGCTTGGCACATGTCGAGTCTACAGTACCTTGGCACATTTTACAAAGCAAGTTGCATGTAATCCAACGGTCACCTGCGGTGCCAATAAAAGGCAGTACGTTAGCAAGGTGGGACTCAAAGGGTGCCCCGCACAGCCGACGCTCCCTGTGAACACTGCATTCCTAAGCGGTTTTTGGTTTTGCAACAGGGACCAGTGTCTCCACTGCAAACAGCTGGCTCAGTCAGTCATGTTTGAGCACGAGGAGCGCCAGAGCACCCAGCACATCTCAGCCAGACCCTAAGTGCTGTCTGGTTTGGGTGTTTCTGGAGGAGGTCCAAATTAGAAGTGCAGAGCAGGGGAAATTATCCAACACTTCAGGGCTGTTACATTTTCCTTTGAGACATGGTAAGAGTCAAGAATGTGGCTGATGGACTCCCTGACCTATCGGTGAATAATACATGATGCCAACACTACTGGATCAACCACATATTTTTGTGTACAGTATTTGTCAACAGAAGAAACAGTTTTATTACTTGTACTGATTAGTCAATATGATCTGGCAGACTACACAGGGCTGACTATAACACCAGCTCCAGGTCATTTTTTAGCCACAGGACTTCTATTATTAACGCATCTTTTTTGTTTCAGGGTTGTTTTAGCTGTTTGAAAACATGATTTAAGACTTTAAATCTCACTGCAGGGAAAAAGAGAGAAGTGCAATGCATGTGTCTTTCACCTACTTAACGCCTTCCTGGCCACAGTTCATCCCACTACATAATTTGATTGAGAATTTTGACTATACAGCTGCCATTAAATCAGTCTTCACCAGGGACCTGGTGCCATGGATGAATTTAAGGGCACACGGTTGCATATTGTGGTTAGAGGAACCCGGGAATGGCCACGGCAGTTGTGCAAGAGACATGCTAAGCAATTCCTTTGGCTTAACATGACATTTATATCAGCATTCATTACTAACTGACAGGTCAAGTCATCATTTCTGCTGACTGAAACTACAGTGGATATCAAATTATTATTTTTAGTGAATCTGCCACAAAATCTTTCCTTGTGTTCAATTCTGCACCTTGAGGTACTCACGTAAGGTAACACAAATTGTAGCATACATCATGCATTACCATCTAGTAATTTTAAATGTTAAAAGAAATCAACAGGTATTACTGAAAAGAGGGTTGTACCTTCTGTATTTAATACCAAAAAACATTTTCTTGCATTAGTCATTTCAGACTGACAAATTTCTAAAAATCAGAAAAGAAAAATATATATCCACACATTTGTTAAATAAGCAACATAATGTTATAAACAAAAACAAAAAAAAACCCAAAACAAACCAAAAAAGGGTCAAACTAGTTATTTTACCTCATTAAAACATGCTCATGGTGAAAATTTATTTTACATATTTAAAATAGTACAATTGAAATTAGTTACATTACAGGTACAATGATGAACATTGTGACTATCCATTTTATTGCACAAACCTGACTTCATCAATATGAGTTTGTTTCTTTTCTTTTCTTCTTTTTTAAATAGTGCAAAATACTTTATACAGGAATGTACTTGGATGGGGGTCTTGCAAACCAAAAAAATATATTACAAAAGTTACCGCAAACAGAAAAAAACCAAAACAAAACAAAATAAAATTAAAAAAAAAAGATACAAGCTGTACAAGGAAATTGCCATAGACAACAAAATCTCTCCTCCTTGAGAAGCAAACCTCAGTCCAACATGGGGCCTGGATTTTTTTGTGGGTGTTTTTTTTTTTGCTAGATGCTGTTATAACCAATATATAGATTAGTATCTTAATACAACATAAATATAAGTCCAGTCCAAGCGGTCCATGTTGGTGTAAAATGGTGTAACATAAAACATATCTTTAACCGTCTATGGTTTTATTTCTCTCCAAAGTATAAACAAAACCCCACAAAATGAAAATAAGCAAAACCCGAGCTATCCACCACGGCTGCCCGACGCTGCGGATTGACCACTCAGCTTGTTCCAACGGCACTGTAGAT